ATGAGGCTGAAGATGAGGTTCTCCTGATTGATCCGGTCGCTTTGCTTGTTTGTCTAAGACATTGAAATGGGACTGGAGGTGAGGTCCTCCGGACTGCTCCAGTCGCTTTGTTATTTGCCTAAGACATTGAAATGAGGCTGGAGATGAGGTCCTCCCGACTGATCAGGTCGCTTTGTTGTTTGCCTAATACATTGAAATAAGGTTGGAAATTAGGTCCTCCTGACTGATCCGGTCGCTTTGTTGTTTGCCTAAGACATTGAAATGGGGCTGGAAATGAGGTCCTCCTGATTGATCTGGTCGCTTTGTTATCAAGTTTCAGAGATGTCAGCTAGGATATGATATAGTTTAGTCTTTGGGGTCTGTAGGAGTTATAAAAGCCTTCCTTTCTAAAGGAAGTGCTGCCGAAATTTGTACTGAAACCAAAAAGCTAGGTTACCTGATCGGACGTCCGGGACCCCCCTGACCGTCCAGGGTTGTCCGCTCGGACAAGCGGTCGGACATCCTCCCTTGGCAAACAACCGGTCGGACATCCTCCCTTGGCAGACTGTCCGAGCCCGAATGGCAAAAAAAAAAAAAAAAAAAAAAAAAACAAGTTTTCAAAAAAATATGAGAAAAAAAATTATGTTATGAAAAAACATAAACTGAACAACTTTTGCCTTGGGATCATATCGAAATTCATTGTCAATTTTAAAATAAAAAATACAATTAAAGGCACCACCAATTAATTTTTTTTTTCACGCATTTAATTGTTAAAAATGGAGTTGTCCGGGCCCGGACATCGGGACCCCCCTGATTATCCAACCAGGACGTCCTGCCAACTGGTAACATAGCCAAAAAGTTAATTTATTTCCATATATTTTCAGAGTCATGAGTTTTTCTTTTTAAATTTTGTATAGTAAAATATTATTCGAGCACACTTCCCTAAAGGAAGTGTTGTCGAAATTTTCGAGATTTTCATATCGTTACCAGACGCTAATGCTAAGTAGTTTAGAGTGCGATAGGGAGTTGAACTCCATTAACTTGATAGACAATGTCTGCCTTGATTTTTGTGACGCAGGTCATTGCTACATGCGAGTGTTATTCGAAGTCTTGAGCTTTATCAACTTCTGCTATCAAATTGATAGCAAGTCGGTTTGCAACTAAACTCCTACCCACCATGATACCCTCGTCCAGATGTCTGTGATCCTGTAGATGAAAGGCATTTCCGTATGAAAGAAATTTCATCCTTGGAACCTCTCTTGTATGGTCATGCAAAAGTTGTGTGAATTGGATGGGCGGGTATGCCTTTATTGAGTAGGGATCGGAAAGGGGCATGTGGGACATGAACCTGAGAGAAAAGGGGTTGACCACGGTTTATGGCATCTGCGTGTGGATTTTCATTGGACTTCATGTGTGTGCAGATATGTATGGGACCGAGGATTCGCTCCTTGATTAAGGGTGATATGGATGAATGAGTGCAGGGTGTGAGTGGCAAGGTTCAACTATGCCTATGAGAATGATTCACCCTAATTCCCTCGAGACTCCCCATTTTCTTACTCTTATTTTTCTCCTACCTCGCGCTTCTAACAAACAGGTAGGGGCAGTCGAGCGCAAGGCTTAGCGCTCCACCCTCAATCAGACTGAGACTTAGTTTGGATATGGTAGATTGCTCGCCAACCCGTGACTACTTGTATCTTCTTTCTCAAGTCTTAGAGAAGGACGAGCGAACCCAATTTCAAAAGGGGTTTGGCTTTTTAGATTATTGGTCGGACGTTGGTCATAAGCCTGGAATTCGAGATTCTTGTCTAGGACATCCCAGACTCGGGTCCAGCATAAAAGGTTTTCCCCCTTGATTCGGACCTACGTCCCTTGCTTATCGTCACCCGCTGCCTAAAAGACGGGGGTGCCGCAAGGGCCGAACGACTTATCCTTCAGCCGTGCAATATCGTGAAGGAGGAACCCTTCACGATATTTCACTTTCGACACTTGAGTGTCGTATGCAACCCCGAAATCAATAAGAGGTTGCGCGGATGTGGATAACGCATGAAGCGTCGCCATGATCGCAGATCAAGTGAGTACACATGACTGAGCGTTATGGTTCCCTTAGCACCTGCATTCGTTTTTGAGAAAACTACGGCGCAGTCAGGGTTACAGTTTGTAATTGCATTTGGAACTGTATTTTAGCAGTTTAGTCAGGGTTCGAGTTTCAATTGCATTTGAAACTGCGTTTTAGCAATTTGAAACTCGGGCTGGCTTTTTCTAGCAGTTCAGTCAGGCACATGACCGTTTTTTTTTTTTTTTTTTTTTTTTTTTTTTTTTTTTTTTTTTTTTTTTTTTTTTTTTTTTTTTTGCGTGTGTGCCGTAACGCGACATACAGATACGCGGCTAAAAAAAAGAAGGAAAAAAGAAGAAAAAGAAAAGAAAAAAAAGACCAGCCCCATGGTTAGGCCACGACCGAGATGTCTTGCCCACACCCCAGACTGGCCACGACCGACATGTCTCGGCCACAACCCAGATTGACCACGGTCGAGATGTCTCGGCCACAACCGAGATTCGCAGGTACTACCCTTCACAGGCAGACGCGAAGTCTCAAGAGTAGCCTACTCTGAAGAAGTGGGGGGCTTGGGGCAGGGATGGAGACCAAAAACAGAAAAAAGAAAAAGAAGAAATAAAAAAAGTAAAGAAACGAGGAACTTGGAATCCACCTACGTCGGGAAGACCCTCACCTCACCAGTGTTTTGAGGAATGTATCTCGCCAGAAAGTGAGGAAAATGAAACATGTCGTTTTTCTTTTTTTTTCTTGTGTGAGGTCCTTGTAGCGCCCTGCCAGCTAGGCAGGGCGGATTCCACGCGAGGCAGCTAACTGCCTCGCCTCATTCAGTTTCAGACAAACACTGTAGCATCCTGTATAGGACCG